TTTAAACTCATACTGACTGTCACCTTATATCAACAGCTAAATAATCTTGTTGATGCCTTTTATATGAACTGCAATTGCAAGGTTTTATAAGGATGTACTATCTTACGCCAGGTAAAAATAGATATAATAGATAAGCTACAATAAATATTTTACAAGAACAATGTTTTGCTAATGTTTAAGTTACTGGTGTGAATTTCAATATTATTAGATATTATAATTTTTAAAAAAATCTAAAAGCAGTTTAATCTATCAGCAGTAATTAAGAAACAAATGCATTTATGCTCTTATTACCTCATCTAAGTTATACAATGAAATGATTAACAAAGAAATATCATGCAATATTAATATAGTCTTTGAGCAAATTCCTTTCTTCAATTTTCCACAGCGATAGTAGAAATTAGTTTTAAGATGTCAGACAGGGTCTTTCTTGGCTATTATCTTATATTAACTTCTAGTGTCATGAAACATTGGGCATGTATATCGAACTGAGAAGGGCAGCCCTGAAAGCAAAAGTATGTATTTCTAAATCATGCATAGCAAAAAAATTTTAAAAATGGTATCATATTTACAAAAGGACACATTTATAGGATTTAAATTGCAGATAGGACGGGCTGCCCTTCTAAAAATGATTAGAAAGAACACCATAGCAAATTCGAGTATTTTTTAAAAAAAGTTTTCTATTGTTACTAAAATCAAAATTTCATTAAGTAGATGTGCATTTATTAATTATTATTTTTTTTAAAACTATTAGGAATTATATGATGGTACCGTTCTTCTATATGATCTTATATTTGTCTTTTTAAATTGCTGGGTTTTAGCAGTAGACAAAATTCTTTTAATTCTTATTTATTAAATATAAATACTCTCTAAGAAAAATATTTTCCCAAACTAGGAAAAATAAACAGTAGTTGTATTCCTTGCTTATGCCAAAAGGTGTAATGCGTAAAACAAACAAAATCATCATCTTTAATAACTTTTTTTTTATCAAATTCTTTTGAACAAAATCCCAACCTTAATGGCTAAAAAGGGTGACCTTTAGTTTACTAATTTATCAATACAAACTAATAACTTAATTATAAAAAAAAAAAAAAAACATTTATGATTTTTTTTAAATGTTATTCAGCTGCTGAACATTTGGTACTTCAAATATAAATATACTTGTCATTGATAATCTGACTGCATGTTTATGATCAGAGACACTCTTAAAACACTTCAGAACTACTTAATATTACGTTGCTTAGAAATTTTAGCAATTTTTTTAATTTCTTTTTGTCAGATTCAGACAACTGTGCATCGGCAAAAATTCAGCAGACGAATATCCAGATCACTGTTTCTTAAATCTCTCTGTAATAATCTAACATCATATGTAATAATCAAATATCATATCATCAAGTCTCATTCCTTCAGCTACAAAAATAAGATTCTGCGGCAGGGAAAATTTGCAATTTATCTGTGCACAATAAATTTACATTTAAAAAAATCGTTTTATATAAATTATAGGAATAAGATTTCAAAGCAAAATGAAAATATCTGTGGACAGCTAAACTACTATAATGCAAAAAACTTTTATTACAATCATTACAAGAAAAAAGTTATTCAGCAGTAAGAACAAAAACGTGGACAGTTACAGTATTGCCGGTCTCCTGTATGAATGAGATTGTGACTAGTCAGTTGTTTCTTGGTTAAAAAACTCTTACTACATATGGCACATGAATAAGGTTTCTCTCCAGTATGAGTAAGACTATGTCTGATTAGACGTTCTTGCAGTGAAAAACTCTTTTTAAATACACAACCAAATTAAAGCTTTTCACTGCTATGAACATGTTTGCGTTCAGCCAGTAAAAAACCCATAGTACATATGTCACAAGAATAATATTTTTAACTTGAATGCTCGCCATTGTGTTGAGTTAGATGTTCCTTTTGTGAAAAACTCTTACTACATGCACTACAAGAATAAGGTTTCTCTTTACAATGAATACGACTATGCTGAGTCAGATTACTGCTGTGTGAGAAACTCTTATTACATAAACTACAAGAATAAGGTTTCTCACCAGTATGAACACGCATGTGTATCATTAGAGGAGACCTATCTGAAAAACTCATACTACATAAGGAACAAGAAAAAGGTTTTTCTTTAGTATGAATACGAACGTGTCGAGTCCGATCAGAACTGCGTGAAAAACTCTTACTACATAGACAACAGGAATAAGGTTTCTCTTTACCATGAATACAACTATGCTTAGTCAGAGCATATTTCTGTGAAAAACTCTTATTACACAAATGACAAGAATAAGGTTTCTCACCAGTATGAACACATATGTGTATCATTAGATGAGACCTATCTGAAAAACTCATACCACATAAGGAACAAGAATAAGGTTTTTCTTTGCTATGAATACAAGTAATGCGTCAAGACTAGAACTATGTGAAAAACCCTTACAACAGATATTACAAGAATAAGGCTTTTGACTGCTATGAACATGTTTGTGTTGAGTTAGCTGTCTCTCCTGTGAGAAACTCATACTACATACACTACAAGAGTAAGGTTTCTCTTTACTATGAATATAACTATGGCTAGTCAGAGTACTTTTTTGTGAAAAACTCTTATTACACAAACTACAATGAAAAGGTTTCTCACCAGTATGAACACGTCCATGTGCCATTAGATTACCCCTAGTTGAAAAACACTTGCTACAGCTACATAAAGGACAAGAATAAGTTTTTTTTTTGAGGAATACGAATGCGTAGATTCAGATGAGAATTCCGGGCAGAGCCCTTATTATACACATTACTAGAAAAAGGCTTTTTATCAGTATGAACAACACGTCTGTGGTTTGT